TGTAACCATTACAGACCTTCGCGTTGGAAGCTTTTGGGTTGTTCCATTCATCAGTGTATGGCAAATGCTTAAACACTCGCTGTTAATTTATTTGGTTCGTAATACCTGGAAGTAATAATGAAAAATTGGATTTTTATTGATAAAGATTGCAACATCAAATGGCTGGAACTTTTTGCTTTACCCACTGCAACTGAAAACGAATGTGCCATTAACATTAATTGAAGAGGTTTTCTTTTGATGTGGATTGCCTCAGTGCTGTTATGAAGCAAGTGTGTTTTCTTCATAATATTGACCAAGTGTTCACTGCAGTGTATCACCCTCAAGCAAATCCAGCAGATTAAAAATGAGAGAAGATTAAAACTAGATTAGCCATGTGTGCAATAAACATTCGTCTTGGGCAGAAAAGCTTCTGACAATTTGTTTCGTAAATACTCAAATGTGAAACCACTGGCCAAACTGCTGCATTCCTCCAATTTTTTAGAAACTTACATATGCCATACAATGTTACACATAATCTTAGGCATGTTTTCTCCAATGATAATTTTATAGAAGAGATTACCCCATGTATGAAGAGATTTGTCACCAGTCAACCAGGTAAAGGAACTGATTGAAAAGAAACAAGAATATTGAGAACAATCTGCTTATGTAAATTGAAAACCTGGATGCTTCTTAGTTCGCTATTTTTTTAGCACTTTCATTATGACATTTTGTAATTTTGAATTATTTTTCTTATTTCTAGTTCCTTTATTTTCTTTTTTGTGAGATTTCCTAATACAGTAGAACTCCAAATATTTGAATTGATTGGGACTGAACCCCATTCGGATAATCAAAAAATCGAATAATTGGATTTTTTTCTGAAGAAAGGGTATACATACACTTTAATTAATTACTGTATGTTGAAAATGGGAGAAAAAAAAACTATTTTTAAGAAAAAGAAGTTTTGATTAATTAAAATGAAAAGACAACACCTTTACGTGCATGTTATATAATGTACTGTAGAGTACTTACAAGGGCTGAAAGCCATTGCTTGCTGAACATCTCAGTCAAAGTAAGCAGTTTGACTGTCTTCATCCGTTTTCGGGCAGCCAAGTCTCGCATCCACTTGACAATGAGAAGTTGCATGTAGTTACACTTAGGCTGATGCTCCATCCACTTCAACGCAGTTTCAAGGCCAGCAAACGCTTCACTAGTTGATGGTCCTGTGCCTGCTACAACATCGACATTAAGGTTATCTTCTTCCTTGACACTTTCTTCTCTCATTCTTTCAATAAGTTCATCATCATTTAGAATTTGAAACCCAGAGTCTAACGAATCACACACCATGCATTCTGCTGTAACGTCAGCACTAACTTCTGTACATCCAGGAATTTTCAAAAGAATATTTTTTAATTTCTCGAGTGACATGTAATCCTCATCTTTTCCTGTCTCTTCATTTTCCTGTTCTTGAGCTTCCTTTTTCTTTTTCTCCTTTCCCTTCCATTGATTCTGAAAGCTGTTCGGATAATCAGCAATTCGGATAGTCGGAGTTTGGATAATTGGAGTTGTACTGTACTCTCTCAAGCTCTCTCACATGATTATTGAAGAATGATAGATGTTATGAGTGTAAGATTATCATGTCTGAATCTAGTGATTCATTTACATCAGTATCTTTTTTCCTTACCTTTATCTTCGAATCTGTCTTTTAGTCCTTCATTTCTTTGTTTTATTTCTTCATTCTTTTCCTTTCTCCCCACCCCCTTTTTTTTTTTTTTTTTTTTTTCTCCATTCACTATCCCACACCAGCTGCTTATTATTTTGAAGAGATTTAACTCCTAATATGGAGAGCCGAACTAGGAGAAGGTTTTTGCCGATCATTCAAATTTTTTGTCGCATGACGCGGACAACATACAACAGTACATGAAGGTTGGGAAATATTTATAATAAATTCTCAAAATATCTTACTGTATCTCTTCATAACAAATATTCTTTCCCTGGGGAGGGTTCTGTAGATAAAAAGAATATGATATATGCAATTTTGTATTTTTCAAATGTTGAAATGTTTTGTCGCATGACGTTGAAATGTTTTGTCGCATTGTATGTCAAGGTTTAAATTATAATAACTGCATGAAAATAATATTTATGATTTGTCAATTTCCTATGGAATGCATAGTTAGTCTTTAAAAAATAATAACTAATTTTATTTATTATTTAACTTTATCCTGAAATATGTACAAATTTCAAGTAAACTGACGAGTAAACCTTCTCTTCTTTGATACCGGTTTGCCGGAAGCCCATATATTTTACGAAAGCTTATGTCACTAGTAGAAGAAAAACTGTAAAATCTTAGGAGCAGAGGAATAAGCGTTTAGGAGCTATAAGACCTGCAAACTATCAGTAAAGTGTTGGAAACATGATACCAAAAGTTGCTAAAATGTATTTATATGAACACATAATATGGTAAGAAGGTGGAGATCTCAATATAAAGAAGCAATATACGTTGGAATGTTGAAAATGTAACTTGTTATTGACTTCAGATGAAATCTATTACAAGAAACAATAGATATGCAATTCACCAAAAAAACTGTGAGATAGGCAGAAAGACAGTTCACAAATAGGCACATTTTACAAAAGAGTTAGACTCTGACTTTGTACACTCAATCATTTGTCAGTGAATCGAAGCAGTAATCCATTGGCGCAATCCACATTCCAGGTTCGTCATCCAAGTATCTGTCCTTATAAAAAGCGTACTTAATAAAGTTTTTGAAAAACTGGAGAACTGAACTGATATAGTGAAAAGGACTGCAGGGCCAGAAAACTATTGCCATGCCAATTGCCCTCCTGTGTCTCGATAATGATTGTATCTGTTATGTAACGAACAAAAGATTTGTAGTGTCTGAAGAAATGAATATTCAGATGCTTAATCTTTCCCGTACATCCTTCAGGTACCAGTTCTTTTTGTAGCACTTTACCATTAGGTACTTTAGAAGCAGACAATGCATGAACATACAAGAAATAGAGATGTCATTATGGGAATATGTCCATCTATACACACTTTAGGGATACTGAGTCCTATAGCTCCTAAATGCTTGTCCCTCTGCCCCTAAGACTTCACAGTTTTTCTACTTGTGACATAAGCTTTTAGAAAATATATGGGTTTCTGGCAAACCGATATCAAAGGAGAGAAGGTTTACTTGTCAGACATTTCCCTTTCTAATATTTAAAGATGATTTCATACGAGATCATCATCACTATATGTCTTATGTGTTTTTAATCCCAGAGACAGACTAAAATACTAGTCATCTGACTTCAGTATTACGTGCCCTACATGATCAACACATTTTGTGCCCTTTATATGATTTCATATGAGATCATCATCACCATCTGTCTGATATGTTTTTAATCCCAGAGACAGACTAAAAAATTAGTCATCTGGCCTTCAGCATTATGTGCCCTACACATTTGGTGCCCCACATAAATTAATGATATTGATAATTCAAAGCAAAATATGCCCTTTTTTAGTTTTCACTTATAAGGATCACAGTGGTTGATGCTCTTCAAAAATGAGCACCTTAGGCAGCTGCTTATGCTTGCACTTAGCCTTGCATTTGCCAGATTTCTATATGAAAGGTCTATGAAAAATAAAAGTTTCGTATGTATAAATTTAAGTTTCGTAAGCGAAGAATAGTTATATAAATATCAGTGATATTAATAATTTTTTTAAACAATTTGTAAAAAAGATGTTTTAATTTGCATGTTTATAATTTAAATTCAAGTATCTCATTATATTCAGCTTTGCAGTTATGCTTTTTTACATATTAAAGGATTTATCACAATTTTTGTTATAAAGCTGTATGATAAATTTTTGACTGCTTTATTGTTTTGATGTCATGTTCTAATATTCTCAGAATATTTCAAGTTGCTCAAAATTATTATTTGAAAATTGAATAAAATAAAGTCATGATGATATCCATGTGTTCATTGACTGATATTACGCTTCTTGTTTAATATGATGAAAGATGATATTTAATTTGGCTTTCTGTTAAAATTGTCCATTTTGGAAATGGGACCTTTCATGAATAAGAGAATGTAAGTTGCACGTTCCTCACTCACTCCATCTCAAAAACACATCAAGAATCACCATTCAGAGTATATATGGACTTGTCATTAAACAGTAAGAGGTCCTATTCCTGTTGCCATTATTGAACTTGATGACAATACCACCTTAACCTGGCCCTTTTGGAAGACGAAGTGAATATAATGAAAATTATTGATATTCACATGTAAGTCCAACCTCATGAAGCAATTATGCATAGTAGAATGACTGATCTGAGTTTCTATGATAACCTGAAGATATAAAAGTAAATCTTTTGTAGTCATTTCACAATCTGTCTGAGCTAAAAGGGATAGAAAATAGTTATCAGATGCAGTTTGTTTCTCTTGACCACCCTTAACTAGACTGTCTACTGCTTTAAAAAGCATTTCAAGTAACTGATAACTCACTTCAAGGGATAATCAGATCCTGAATAATCTCCATTTTTGTTTGCCCTTCTCCCTTTAATTTTACCAATTAATTTCCACTTTTGCCCTTCATGTAAATAATACTTTTGAGTAATAACTAATTAACACAGATTATTATCAGAAGCTATATTAACTTTAAACAACATGACACATCCTAATTCCAATATGCATCCATTGCATAACATGTTGTCAGTTACCTAATTTTCATGCTTTTGTGCTACTCTGTTAGTCCAGTTTGATAGCCTAGTTCTGCATTCAGCTAAAGAAAATCAGGCAAATGATTACACCAATGAACGTAGGTTAAAACGTTAATCAATGATTTTTTCCCAGATTATCCTTTAATTTTGATGAATAGTGTATTTTCAAGATCTAGATATTATTTTAATTTTAATATTTTTTGATAACTTATGAGTTAACTAAACAATTATATTTGCTTTGTAGTAATTACAGATATATTTAATATTGTAATTTCACATGTGATTTATTACGATTCTTCTTTTAAGGGATATTGATAAGTCTGAAGTCCCAGTCTATTCTGTCAAAGCTCACTCTCAAATCATAAATGCTATTGATGGTGTTGGTGGCCTTGGCATTGGCGCTGGAGCTCCAGAAATTATTACTGGAAGTAGGGATGGTATGTTTATTTATTGTTATTACTTCTCTCTATTTTGTTCACTTAAACAGTAGCGGAACTTGCTATAAGCTTCTGAAAGTTACCCTATTTATAAATAAATATATACAAGGTAAATTTGAAATATCTGACAGAACTGTTAAAGCAGATAGAGAGAACTAAAGCAGAATTTTTAATGGAATGTGTGTGTGGAAATGGTGCTTTGAGGTGAATAAAGGCACTATTGAGATCAAAATGTGAAAGCAATCCACTACTGTAAATTGTTGATTTCAGTGTAGATTTTGAGTGGTATGCATCACTACATGAATGTGAAATTTGCTGATTTGCATTTTATTAATATGACAGAAATAGAGCAGCTTTGGAATTCCAACACTGGTGTAGCTAGAAGGGCAGTCTGTTTCGGACGGCATATTTTCTGGGTTGGGAGGGGGGTCATTTTTTGTGTGAAACATAGGAATCAATCATATTGATCATTGAGACAGATGAATAATGAGTTTCTGAACTGGCCATAGAGAACTAAATTGAGTAAAAAAAAAAAAAAATAGTTTTTGCTTTAGGTAAAGTATCCAAAGAAATCACCCTGAGATTTCAGTAGTGTTTACATACTCTCCCATACCTTTTTTATTACATCAAAACTTTTGGATAAAAATTATGATCACAGTGATATTAATAAGGAAAAATTCCTTATTAAGAGAGAAGTATTCTAGAGTTTTATTTCCATTACTGCTTGGGAAAATAAAATGGGGGTGTGCAAGACAATCCTTTTGAATTTTTGCAATTTTAAAGTACAATCTGCAGAATAAAGTTCCAAATATTGTATACTACTACAAACTCTCCTCACAGTTGCTGTAAGTACTGCTAATCCTGAGAAGAGTTTTTAAATAAATATCATTTAAGAAATATTTAAAAATAACAAATGTTTTTTGCATTTAAATATTGCTATACATGATAGGAGGTGGCGGAATCAAGTAGACCTGTACATTGTCCTGCCCCCCTCAAAAATGGGACAGTTCTATATCTCCCGTTCTACTAAACCGATTGACGAAAGTCAAATTGCATTCTTCATATCTCGAAAGCGCAACTTAGAATATACATTAGGTTTATATATAGCGCTATTCTAACATAGGTATTTTGATGCAAAATCGGACTTTTTCTGAAATAACAGACCAATGTTTTTACATATTTCGATTCTACGACTCAAATTATGCCTAAATATTAAATTTTGTAAAATTTAGTGCGAATTACAAGGAAAATTTAATGTAGTGGCACTGTTGTCAGTTGGCAAGATCGTATGGCAAACCCTTGTATGGCAACCTTTTTTATTTCCCTTTTTACATTGTCGTGAGCAGGGAAAAAGCCACATCATTCCTTCTTTCAAATAGTTCTTATATTCTATGCAAACATTGATTTTCTCTTAATGTCTGCTTTTTTCTCAGGCATTCTGCAAGTAATTAAACATCCAACTTTCGAACATCTGTTATTTTTACATTCATTTTAAATAAAGTTATTGCCCTCCATTTCATAAAGACCCACAAGGGGCTGAGCGGTAAAGTCACTGAACACTGATATTTCTCTCTGGTGTTCGATCTGCAATAGCGGATGCATGAGCATTTTCATGGCTTTTCTCATGCGTAACGCGTATACCTGTTGGTTTCCCTTAGAAAGTTCTTCATGAAGGCATCCTTCTTTTTAGGCAGATAGCCCTGCTTTGTCGTAACTTAATAATCCAGTTCAGTTCATTTCATCAGTATTTAGTCAGAGCCTTTATCAGTCTTTAGAGGCTAAGCATTTTGAAGACATGAGAGGAAAGAAAAGACTGGTTTCATCAAGGGGGAAAACGTCTTTAGATGATATCCATATACGCTTTAGAAACATTAGAATTTTTTGGAAGTAGGAGACTTGAAAAATGAGCAATGCCCTCGCCTGTAATCAAACCACAGACCTCTCGAATCTGCACAAAGCCTGCAGACCACTACACCACTAATGTATGCTAAGAAGGCGGGAGAAATACCTTATATACTCCCCCCTTTTAAACTGCGATTGGAAATCCTGGTGGTGAAGAATCGTCATTCACCACCTTTTAGTTCGAGCGTCACTGTACAGTCTTTTTTTTTTTTTTTTTTTTTTTTTTTTTTTTTTAAGCAGGAGAAATGAATAATGCCCTTGCCGGAAATCGAACCGCAACCTCTCAAATATTAACTGAGCGGACAGACCACTACACCGTAAAGGCACACTAAGAAGGCAGGGGTAATACCTTATAATGTCACTGGATAAATACCTGAATCTTCAAATAATTTGACTGAGAAATGATGGGATGTTCTGTTTATGATGTGATGTGATGTTCTATGACGTAATTTAAATTTATACAACCGTATACTCGAAAGCCAGTCGCTCTTCAGTGTAATCTGCAATGACATGGTTTTTATCTTTTCCATTAGTACTAACTCAATTGCTGCTGTTTGCTGGTGTGCATGTCCAAGTGTTTTCATTTTGAACACCCAACTTCCTTGAAGTAGATTCCCCTTTAATTTTTTGCTTTTTCCCTCCTAATTTCCTTCTTTACTTCTACATATGTTTTCAGTGCTGACACAAGAAAATTAAGATTTTTCGATTATTACACTTCCATAAATTTTGCATTCTTGTCAAATTTTTTAAAATATCCCTTGCATCAAATGCATTTCAGCTGAAGATAGCTTTTTATTTCTGAGATATCTTAACTATAAATAAAGTTTAAAGCAAAGTCCAAAGGATAAATATTTGAATTAACTATTTTTGTTAAATGAGAAAGAAATAAACCACTCCAGCAGTGCTTATCCTGTACCACCGAATGGCCAGATCCTTATATCAGGTGCAAACAATCTAAATCATATTATTTAGAGTTTTTAAGCCTAATAATTTCTATATTAAAGAACATGTTTTTATTTAATCTACAACATGAGAGAAAATTACTACTTAAAACATTCTTTCTAAGAGAATTAATGTAAAAATTTATATATATAATTTATTTTAAGCTGGGGCATGACCCAAGCTGTCAGCATCCTGTTTGCTTAAAAAGGTTGTGAAAATAAACATCAAACGAACTTTCTCAGTTTTAGACAATTCAATTTAAATGAAGTTGAAGTAAAGTCACAGACGATAACATGGTGAAGGTAAAAATTTACTCTTACAAATATTTTTAAAAAAGGAAGAAAGAAAGAAATTTTTAAAAAAAAAGTTATAATTTTGAATAATATCATCTGTAACTTTTAAAAAAATAGCTTTTCATATAGTATTAATAAATATTTATTATGCATCATTGAGGGAAAAAATTTCATATAATTAATTTTTCGCAAAAACTTATTTGAAATTTAAGGTTAAAAATAGCTGTGGCAATTCATTGTAACAAAATCCATAAACCACATTTGGGATTATTATCGCTCAAAAAAAGATGCCAAATTTCAAAATGCGAAAATATGTACATTTTTGTATATCTTATAAAATTTTAAGTAAAAAACTCTTAATTTTTTTCAGGTACCCTTAGAAAACACCTACTTTAAAATGATGGTAAAAATTTAATAGGTCATAATTCAAAATGTTTTCGAAAAATTTATAAAATTATTTCAAAATACAAATTTTAAAAATAAATCATAAAAAATGGATGAATTTTATTTGCACTTATATTTTGAAATGTGAAAGGAAGAATCAAAAACATTTCATAAAAAAGAGATATTAATAATTGTATACCAAATTCAATTAACATTGAAGAGCTATTTTTTTAAAAACTACTCATGCGATTTTTACAAAACTTGGCAGTCTGACATAATTTGAGTCGTAGAATTGTAATATGTAAAAAAATTGGTATGTTATTTCAGAAAAAGTCCGATTTTGTATCAAAATGCATATGTTAGAATAGTGCTATATATAAATCTAATATGTATCCTAAGTTGCACTTTCGAGACATGTAGAACGCAATTTTGAATTTCAGCAATCTACCCAGTAGAACGGGAGATATAAAACTGTCCCCCACCCCCACCCTTTTTTTTGCAGCAAAGCATATAATCTCATTAATGGTTTTGGAAACCAAAAAAAAAAAGAGCAAAATGATATAATGTTAAAATGTTGATATTAAATTTTTCTCCAAAAGTAAATGTAGAGAGTGCTGGGCCAACAGCACCCCTAAGGCAGTCTAACTTAGGGTTCCAATACCTCGTCTATATATCTTCAAGTGGTTACAGAGTGTCCTTCTTGAAAGATATGTAGCTCAGTGTGGCCATGTGTCATGATTCCTCCCCAAACCATTAAACTGCAGTCACGGAAATTGAATATTTCAAAGACAGGGGAAGGCAAGTTGCATGTTTTTTCATCTCTTCATATCAAAACACTTCTAGAATCACTGTTCAGACTATATATGAAGTTGTCAATAACTTAACCAAGTCTACTTGGCTCCATTGAACATGACGTTGGCACCAGTTTAAACAGGCCTCTCTAGAAGTTGTAGTGAGGGGGACAAAAACCACCCCCTCACTCCCATACAGTCAAACTTTGTTAAGCCTTTGTGCAGCAGTAGAAAGGCTAATTTGAGTTCCTTAAGTGGCAGCTTTAAGGTCTAAAAACACATCTCTTGCAGTCACTTCATCATTTCTTCGAGCAGACAACAGTAGAAAATGGTCTTCTGATGCAGTTTGCCCTTGACCAGTTTGTCTATCAACTGATCCAGTGCTTAAAAAGTGGCTCCAAACTCTTGATGGAGAGGCCAACCGGCGGCCGAGCAGTAAATGCCACTGAACACTGGTAGTTCAGTCTGAGCTTCAAGTCCTGACAAGCAGGCTGGCTGCATGGACGTTTCGTGGTCCATGTGTAATGTGGATACGAGACAATCTCGTTTTTCAGCGACGTGTGCACCACGTTATTTTCATTTTTGCGATAAATGCCTATCGACAAGGTGTTCCCGTCACTCGCAGTTTGAGACAAAAGCATCGCGATGTGCGTGGCACGTCTTTTTAAGCACAAGTGGTTAAAAAGACCTCCATGGGGCATCTCTCCCTTTCCATGCAGTACCTAAGCTGGAGCACATAATAAGTATTAAAAAAATCTCTTGATATGACACTTTGAGGGATATTCAGATCTTGGCGACCTTCATTTGTGTTTGACTTAATGATGCCTTTGAACCATAACTACTGAATACTGATCACTCTCAGAAACCACATTCACTTTAAACGCCACTACAGACCTAAATTCCAACATGTATCCATGCGTTAAGCACCGAATTTGCATATTTCCAGTGCCTAATGTATGTGCAGAAGGGCAATTTTGTGTTCAGTTATATTTATTTAACATAAATAATTACAGTATGGGACATTGGTTGCAACATTAATTTTGTGAGCATATTTTTTCTCATTATCCTTTAGTTTAGACCAGTGTGCTTTTTATATTTTTAGAGGTTCATTTTTGTCAGTTGAACTGCTAATTTTTTAGCATTAATATGTTTCTTAAGTGAGTAGAATATTTTGCAGTTGTTTGTGCAAAAGATTATACTCATTTAGATTGTCAGCTAATATTGATAAAAAGAATGTCTATAAATCTTCTTGCATGAACTGTTGAAAAATCTGAGCAAAGCCTCAACGGAAACAAACATGTAGGTAAGCACAAGTAATAAATATAGTATGAATGCATAAAACTCATAAATTCATCATTATGTCTTCATTCATTATTTCATATATTTTGGCTAGGTAACCACTCATCTGGAAGCTCAGTAAAGAATATTTTGAAATTTTAGAGAATCACAGAAATAATGCAGCATCACCATTGTTGTTTTATATAAATATGTAAGATATAACAAAATATGATAGCTGCTTTAAAAATAACTGGTGACTTCAAAATTAACTATTCTAGATTTGGTGCTTTCCCCTTAAATTCATCTAGTCTCCAAAATTCGAGAACCTTCTATGTTATGTAACAACTTAAAATTAACCAATCACAGATTAACTGTACTTATACATCAGGCTTGGTATAAATACGTCATTCTTTTCCTAGCTTCGCCACTGCTAAGATATCCCCACTGCTGTGCTTGTCCGTCTAAGATGATGCTGCTGCCGTTAACCTGTGTATAAAGAAATTTTTGTAATTCATTATGATTGGATAAATGTCTACTAAGATAGCTTCATATGCTTTAAAATAAAGATTGGAACTTCTTCAAAATTCATTTGTGTCGGCGTCATCTGTTGGTCTTACCACACAGCCAGCATGACTACACATTAAAAATATGGCATATATATATATACTGGCTTTGAGAATTTTTGGTAGATAATTTTTTATCATTATGTATTTTTAATGAGCAGTTCTTTTCTTTTTCTCCCTTCTCCCCCCCCCTGAAATATAGAGAATTTAAGACTAAAAACTTTTCTTTCCAAGGTTGGGAAGGAAAGGCTGAAGATCTGCAATTAATATTTCATTTATGTTTAAAATTCCTATGGCTAGTTGTCACAGTTTTAAAAATTGGTGTGCTTTGGCTGATGTGAAAAGTTTGATTAATATGACTATAACTAAGCACACAAGAGCTATCTGTCTCAGGACCAAAATGCTTTTGGAGGAAATGCCCAAACAGCAACTCATTTTCAAGACTTAAACTCATGTCCAGTGAACTTAAATAGCAGTGTCCAGCAGTTTTATTAGCTTGGCTATAAGTCTGCTCATGATGTGAGAGACTTTAATTCTTAAACTGTCATGCTATTTGTATCATAGGAAATGAAATGTATTGAAAAACTATCCTATAATATGCATGTTGTACACAATTAAGATCCTCCTTTAACCATTGTACAATAACAAGGGGATGGTAAAACCTTGTTTTCATTTTTGGTTTTTCTGCAGAAGTAAAAAATCATTTTTGTATTTCTTTCATTAACCAAAATGATACTAAGGTTTTTCATAAAAGGAAAATGGCATAAACTGTGGGAAGTTTTTGTATTGTACTGAAATTCTGATTTCTCACCATTGTTTAATATAATTCGTAATGTAATAGTTCTGCATATGATGACTGGATAGTTAGTTGTGATAATCATGAGAAAGATAATACAATAAATTTTTACATCATTGTGCATATAGTAGCTATTGGTATATCTCAAATTTCAAAACTTAATATTTTCACTTCATTGTATTTCAAAGACTATTAAAAGCATGTTGTTGACTGTAATTCTTTTGAGTATTTTATATAAAGTATTCATAACAAGCTTCGACTATTCTATTGATTTTATTGTTATATTTTAAAATAATTTTTATGATTAATAATCATATAAAACAATTTTTGGTATGTATATTGTTTATTAGTGTAGTTACAGGGAAATTAGCAGTCTGTTAAGGGAATTATTCAAGCTTTCTTGCCTCATACACCCTTTTCACCATTGCTAGACAATCATCCCCCCTTTTTTTGAAGCTTGGAAAATACATATATATTTATTTAAATTTGGATTATTTTTTAATGTTTTATAAATTAAACAAGAAAAATTATAGAAAATGTTAATAAATACCGAAGCTTGAAGAAAAGTAGTTTTTTTTATATTCATAAACTAAAACTAAATACTTAACAGGCAAATAAAAGGCTGACCATATCCCCCCCCTCCCCGAAACTGAAATTCTTCCCTAGGGGGTAATGATAACCTTTATATTATATTACATTATTAGTGATGTATGGATAAATCTGAAAATGATTCATTTTAAATTATTTTATAGGTGGTGTTAAAGTTTGGGATCCTCGACAAAAAAATCTCCCTGTAGCAACAATGGAAGCAGAGGCTGGGCAAGACAGAAGAGATTGCTGGACTGTAGCGTTTGGTAAATGTTACAAAATTTCTTAGAATTTGTATTAGGTTCTTTGTGAAAAGGTTATAAAAAGTAAGATACGTAACTTGAAAATAGATAAGAGTTAACTGCTTGGAGTACTTTCATTTGCTATGATACATATTGGTAGTAAAATTTATTATGATATAAAAATTATTGAGCATTTGTCTATTTTTTTAAGAATTTTTTTTTCCCATTAAATTTGTTGTAATGCTTAGGTAACAAACTGTTGTATTGCTCAGGTAACAAACATATCATATCTATACCTCATACACTCCAAAAAAATATGTGTTGAAGTTTGGTGAGGAGTAACTGTTAAGCAGCCCCTATACTATGGAAAAAATCTGATGTGTACACCACATGACTTCCTTGTACGGAATATTAAATTATACACTTTTTGTCTTGCATTTCATTTAAACTTATTAGACTGAATTAAATCTACTTACGCATAAACCCATAGAATACCTTCTTTAAAATTCCTCTAGTAATATATAGACTCTTTAACATATACACATTTTTATTCATTTAAACACGTCATTTACTTTTTAATTACTGCGAATTCAATCACAATAAAATAACCGCATTACTTTTTTCTTATTATCTATTTTTACTTGGCGCTACCAACAGTATTAATAATTAATAACAGTTAACTTATAGAATAATTAATAACAACTAGTTAACTGTTATAAACCAATAATTATATAAAACAGTAACTTATATTTTCTTTATTATAATCATAATGCAAAATTTATATCATTTAAAGAATAGAATTATCTAATCGTTGCACATTTTCTATTCAAATACTATAATAGGCTAAATGATGTATAAAGAAATTAAGAAACAAAAAAAAAGAAACAGGTTTTTCACAGACGTTGAGTATTCTCATTCAATTAATTCGTCTTACTTGCGAGATGGCAGAAATACATAAAAACTCAAAATATCTATATTAAAAATTACAAAGTAAATCTTAAACACTTATTTCCTCAAAAAAATTCCAGAAAGAATAAAGCATGATTTAATTGGCAATAATAAATGAATGCATTATCTTTGTTGTTGTGAAGCTGTTTCTCTAGATTGGCAACAAATCCACTAGTCTCCTGTTTCAAAAAAAGGCTTAGAGGCTCCTGCCGCCATAAAAAAAAGGCTTAGAGGCACTTAGACAACTTTAAAATTGTTGATAATTCTAAAAATATTGCATACAGATTTACTAAAGGCATAAAAATCTTAACCGGAAGATAAAAACAACATAATACAATCATTTTTAAAGCAAAAAATGTGCAATTTACAAACATATAAGAGTAAAGAAACTGAGATCACTGAGCCGGGTAACAGAGTGGATGTATCTATAAATATATTTATATACGTTTGGTGCGGCCAATCACAACCAAAATACGAGGTGCATATCTACATGTTATAGCAGTCCTATATACAAAATTTCAACGTTCTGAGGCTACTCATTTTTGAGTTATGCGAGATACGTACGCACGTACGTACATATGTTCGTACAGACGCCACGAAAAATTCTCTTCAGAATTAATTTTAAAGCAGTTATATATATATTTTTGAAGGAAAAGAGTATTTTATTCTGTCCTTATGTACAGATATCATGCAAAAACTTCGTTAAGTTGCATTCGATAGCGGTCAAAATGGATATTTTCGTTGAAATATGCTGCCTGAAACTTTTCGCGATTACAATACTTCCTTTTTACTTCATACAAGGAAGTAAAAATGGAGCAGGAGTATTCTGTATATAATGAAAATCATATTTTCAGCAAAGCAGTCTATAATTTTATATTTGGAGGTGCAGGATTTTTGTACTCCATTGTATGTTGCACAGCCCCAGGTAACATGCATTCGTAAGTTGCACGAGAAAAATACGTGCAATTTACGAATGGCCTTTCGTATAAAAAACGTTCAAGTTGAACATAAAAATATCATAAAAAGTGTCCAGTGGCAATTACTAAATATTTATGTATATTTTTACGTTATACTATACGTAACTTTTACGTAAAATTTAGGTGTATTTACGCCAGAGACTGCTGTTCATTCGCAACTTTTACAAGATAATATACGTAAATTTCAGGGATTTAGGTATATTTTTACTAAAAATTTACGTATATTTATCGCATATATGTGAATCTCAATTTTTTGCTTTACGTATGCGTATATATTTAGTAAAAATTATGTAAATTTCCCCAATTTTTTCTGTATATAAACGTATATATATGGTAAAAATTAAGGTAGATATTCCCCGTATTTTACGGTACAAAAACGTATATATTTGATAGTAATTGACCTAAATTTTCCCTATGTTTTCTTTGCATATGCGAATGACTGGTAAAAATTTAATCCGATGTCTTCTCCACTTTACTGTGTATAAATGCACATTTTTTGGTAAAAAATTTGCATAAATCTCCAATTACCTTTTCACTGCATTTTTCATAAAATGTACTTATTTTAATCTCATATTTTTTATATAAATCTATGCAAAAACTTTCTGCATGCTATGATTAAAAGGTAAAATCATTTTTATAACAGCAATATGGAATATATAAGTGGAAAAATAAAATGCACTAGTAAATGCAAAAAAAATTTTCTATTCAAAAATTACATAACACTTAAAGGCTGAAAATCTCTTTTAATATTTCATTTCAAAGTGACTACAAAATATGCAATAAATTTCGTAAACATCAATTCTGTGTTTTAAATCAATTAATGCTATCGTTCATGTGCATTTTTGTTTACTAAATTCATTTCATAAATTTAAATTTAGTAACAACTGTACAAACAGTTGTTTACTAAATTATATTATTACTAAATAACACTTTAAATAAATTATTTACTTTTCCGAAGGACATTTTCTTATGCCATGTAAATGAACGATAGCATAATTGATTTAAAACATAGAACTCAGGTTTACAAAATTTATTGCATATTTTGTAGTCACTTTGAAATGAAATATTAAATGTGATTTTCAGCCTTAAGTGTTACATAATTTTTGAATAGAAATTAATTTTTTGCATTTAAATTTTCCAGTTATATATATCCATATTGCTGTACATACCTAAAAGATGGATATGTAAAAATTTGATATCAAATTAACATTTTATCTTTTAAATCATAATATGCAGAACATTTTTGCATAGATTTATATAAAAAATACGAGATTAAAATAAGCACATTTCACGAAAAATGCAGTAAATAGGTAATTGGAGATTTATGCAAATTTTGTACCAAAAATGTGCACTTATACACAGTAAAGAGGAGAAGACATCGGACTAAATTTTTACCAGTCATTTGTATATGCAAAGAACACATAGGGAAGATTTAGATCAATTATTATCAAATATATAAGTTTTTGTACCGTAAAATACAGGGAATATCTACGTTAATTTCTATCTAAAGTACAATATAGTTAATTAACAAATTCAGTAAACAAATGTAGGACAAAAGAAAACATATGTTTAGATTATTTGAATGAGTGTGCTAAATTTTAAAATTGTTAAATATAGACCAGGAAATTGTAGAAAACTTACCTTTTCCAATAGTTTACCAAGTTGACTTTGTTTTTTCCTTGAAGATGAATGTTTTTAATGTCATAAATATTTCATTCATATCTTCAGATAATACACAAATATATACATATTTATTTATTAAAATCAGTTTATCCCAAACTGTTAAAGAAAATATTAATTTGCATGCAAGTTAATCGAGTAACTTCTGTTTTAATTACACACATAATTGATGATATGTAAAATTTTACATTATCAGTCAATCTTGCAATGTATTGTAATCTATTATTGTTGTCTTTCTCAGTTTAAAATCTTATAAATATATTAGATCAGTACTAAAAGTTCACCTCTACAAAGAAATGCTTTATTGAGGTATTTTTAAAAAGTTCCCTTTTACAATGTAACTGTTAATTTCATAATAAGTTCATAAAATTACGCAAATTCAAAATTACCTAAATATGTTCTTTATTTATCTTATATACCAGATCAAATTTTAAAAAGTTAATTTGTTTAGGAATATTGAAGTTTTTAATATTTATGTCATGTGACTTTTTTCTATAACCATCATTATAAATGTACATGTTGATGTGGGCATACCAATTATTTTTTTTTTTTTCATCAAATAGCTTTATGGTATTAAATGATCTAAAAGGAGGCAACTCGACAAAAGAAACCAATTAGAAGTTGGCTAATTTTTTATTAATTTGTTATCAAACGCTGTGCATTTTAGATTATGCTCATATGATGACAATGAGTTATTTAAATGATAAAATTATTATGAACATATCCCACTTAAACTAAGCAGTATCAAATTTCAAGTTGTTTGAAGTATTATGAACTGTAATACTTGCAAAAGAAATACACATGAAATTAATTTAAGAATTAAGTTTATTTTACAGGTATTCAAAAATTGCAATTACTGTTAAACAATAAAAACTAACATTAAATCTAAAGAGCATAATTTTTTTCAATAATAAAATTCAACATAGATGTCATTCATCTTCACCATATTTGTTCTATAGTTCGCTGTCTTTAATATCCTGCTCGATTTTTGTAAAAGTGAATTCTTTGTCACCCAATGTTTTGAGAACAGCTCCTAAACAAGAAAAAGAAAAATTTGTAATAATTTCACACTTCAGATGTTTTCAGTTTTTAAATATAGTTGAAGTATTAAAAGATGCATATAAAATGCACTGAGTATTTCATATTTAAAAATTTACATTTCAGTATATAAAAATTTAAGTTCATACTATGACACAGTAAACTTCAATTATATACCTTATACAATGCCTATAATTTCAAGTAAAAATACCTAAAGATTTGTTTAGAACTGCAAGGTTAAGAAAGTCTTTAATGGCTATGTTTGTATTTAAGTACACGAGAAAAAACTTAATTTTGTATTAATTATATTGCATTAGCCTTTTCAATTTTACTCCTACATATAGTAAGAATATTCGCTTTCTTACAGATAACTTTTCTTAAATAAAGAGTACGCAGAAAACTAATCACAACACTATATACATATACACAGAATACTTCATAAACATATACATGTCATTAACATACGTATATGCATTAACAGCTATTTACACATTTCAATAAACCAGAAACCAATATACAATCAAAAGTATTATCAGTAAATTCCTCCAAAATCAGAACACAAATCTTTAATTATGATAACAATGGCATCTCAGTTTGCAATATAAAATATTTCAAGTCCTAACATTCATGTGCATTCTAAGCAAACAGAAAGCTGAATAACAATAAATTATAAATACCATAAAAAGTTAAAAGCCACGTAGAATGATAGCAAGACTAAATGAAGTCTTCCTTCAAAAATCAATTTAAATTCAAAATTTGCCTTTTTGTTTACATCTCAAAATAGGGTTACTGCTTTCACTAACTAAATTTCCTGTCTTGGCAAAATAAAAATTGTCACTTCTTCTGTTGCAGGAAATATTTGCTGCAAACTTTGTATGCAAATAATCCAGTGAAAAAAATTTAATTGTGGCTTGAATATTTTCTTTATTAAATAAATGGAAAAATTCCCACATAAATAATTTATGATCCACATGAAGCTTTTTACCTCTACCATATCATGCAGCTATTTTAAAATATATACTCTCATATAAAAGCTACAGAATTTTTTTACCAATATTAATATAGTATAAATCATTAATAAATCTAAAAACAGCCCAAAAATTTCTGAATTTGATACCCAAAACATAATTCTACGTAACTTAATGTATGTATGCATTTGCTTGCACATACTTAAAAGGAATTATAAACACAAAAACTTAACATATTAACTTTAATAAATTCTTTAATTAGCAGGATGACTCATTAAGGCAAAATATGAAGAAATCTACCTGATGGAATAGTTGTAAAAGATATATTTAAAAAGGCTAATACTGTTTACCTTACACATGGCAGAAATTGAGTAAACTGTATGCAGCTGGATTATTTATTAGGAATAGAAGTTAGATCAAAGTACCAGTTCTGGAAGGCTTTAACCATTTGGGTGCAAAGAAGCGTCTCAATTTAAAAAAGCTAATAGAATTTTATAACTTTTACAATCTAGTACAAATAATAGACACATAAACAACACTAAATGCCATTATTTACTTGCATATTTTCCTTCTTTGTGTACTTTACTCCTTAATTTTTCAGGATATGATTTAGAAACAGAGTTATGGTAAAAATGTATACTGGTAAAAAAAATATTGTTGAAACTTATAAGTCCTTTGAATTATATACTTTGTGCAAAGAGAGATGGAATATGTGACTAAATATGATAAATCAGATTACAATAACATTAAACAAATAACATGAAATACTGAAAAAAGAAATTTTATTTGAAATTATTTTTTAACTCATGGAAAGACAGACAGTATTTCCAGCTTATTAAAATCAATTATAGTATCTTACTTTTGTCAAACCAATATTGGTACTTTTCCAATTTGTCTTGCAAGTGATAAGGTCACCCAAAATGGTACAACCGATACCAAACAGAATATCCTCGCTGGTAACCTTTTACGTTTCATTTTCAAAACACGTCGCAGCTATTTCTATCAGACTGAATGTTTCTTTCAATACTGGGATACAATAACATAGAATTTTTACCAGATAGTTCAATTTTATGTCCTAAGGCCATTCGCGGTAATTAAATCAATTAGGATGCAATCACACACTCACCTGAAAATATAGAAAACGCAAAATCAAGGGTTAAATTCATCAATTCTAATGAGAATGCACTAGCGAAGTAAAGCACTGCGGTTTTACATAATTTCTGAGTAAGTTATTCATACGAAATGAAATAATTCTTGCATTTAAACTTGTATTCCAAATTAAGATTTAACTTGAAATTAATGTAGATAATTACTGAGAGAATTAGCGTAGTTTAACATGAGATGAGATCACTTGGGGTCACGGATATGAAACAGCGAATCAGAATGTTGCACCATGAAAGCATAGTAAATTCTTAACTCTTTTACAAATACAAATTAATGTCTTTCTACAAATTTATTGTCTTTTTTTATTATCATTTTACAAATTTTCAATGATATTAAAATGTTTATGCCTTTAAAATAAAAATTTCTTAGAACTAACATTTGTTAACATTTTTTATGTGTATACTGTGTGTTGTCGCCAATAAAGTCTGCTTGGGAAGATTTGCGCCAGCGAAACGGAAAAGTACCCTGATATTTTGAATTTTTTTTTTATAATTTTAATAAATTTACTATTTTAGGGAGGCTCGATAGCACAGTGGCTAGTGCGTCATGCAGCAGCACCAGAGGTCCGGCGTTTGATTCCCTGGCTGGGCAAGCCTTTCATCCCTTGAGTGGGTCGATAAAATTAGTACCAAGTTCCATTGGGGACTTAATACCAGGGGGCCTGCAATAAGCTGACCACTTATGCACAAACACCACAGAGCTCACCATCTAGAAATTAGATATCAAGGCATTGCCAGCCATGGCTCTCTAAGGGCTGTTTATGCCATCCAGTTTAGTTTTAAGTTTTACTATTTTAGTAACATAAAAATACATCTGTAACAGGTTTGGTTTAGGTTAATTTGATTACTGCAAAGCACAATAGGGCTATCTGCCTAAGGTGAGGAATGCCTTCGTGAAGGACTTTCTAAGCGAAACTGGCTCGTATACATGTTACACATGGGGGAAACCACAGAAACGGCCATGCAGCCAGACCGTTCGTGGGATTCGAACGTCGAACCGAACTGCCAGTGTTCAGTGACTTTACCGCTGGACCGTTGCTGAGCCTTATATTACACAGGACCTGTGTGTGTAGGATCACCTTTGAAATTAAGAGAGTTGTATTTAAAATCGGTGCTAAACTAAAGCTGCTTTCTTGCGTAATTTTATACTATTGAAAATAACCACCGGTAATTGTCAAAATTATTCGTATTCAATATGTGTAAGATTATTATGAGCTGCCAAACCGCAGTTAACCATCTAATATACTACATTCAACGTTATTATTTTTCTTTTTGAATGTCAGGTTTTCATTATTTCCTGCCAATATATCTGTAACAGGGACATAAAGATTGAGTTAATGTAGAATAGAAAATTACCTTGCAACATATCCAATACGACTTAGTGGCAGTACTTCATTCTCTAGAAAAAAACATTTTAAATTATTTTACTTAAACAAAAAATTCATATTTGTTACAGCAAAACATCATTAACACAATAAACCAGAGTTGAATGCAAATCTAGTGTAACTCCATTCTTGAAAACTAGTCTATTACTTTCAATTTAATTTAAAAATAATAAAAAATAAGGTACGTATTATGATGACTAACTAGATATCTCACCTAAACTAAAAATCCCTGTAGGTTATACAGGTTAACCCTAACATAGGTTATAGAGGGCACTAAGATAGAGAGTATTAATCCCACACTAGGGACTCTAACATTTGGTAGGAACACTTTGAAAAGTGAAACAGATATTTATAGTGAACCAACGCAAAACAAAAACAATAATCCTTTAGGGATAAAGCCCCTTTGGACTAATAAATAAATTAAAAGCTTTTAGCCATTTTTTCTTCTTGTAAAAAATAGACATACAGAATATTTTTAGAAAATAACAGTACTTTAAGCATGCATTTTCCACATATTTAACACAATAATTCATTCTAGCTCTGTTGCAATACTGGCAAAGGTACTCCTCTGTTATTAGGATGGGATTCAGAAATGTACAATGAAACCTCGAGATACGAGGAAAGTATGAGCAAAATACGAGCATTGACTCAAGTAACGAGCAATGACCCAGGCTGTTGGTATGGGTGGCGCCATTTCCCTATCCGGCTCAACTCAGGGAATCTCCTCGTCAGATCACTCAGTGTTCTTTTATATACGTGTTTGTGCACTTGTTAAGTTAATTGTTTTGACATTTAACATGAAAATAATTGTTTCAAGATGCCTCGCAAGAAGATTGTTGCCTCAAATAGTGCTGCAAAGAAAAATAAGGAGGCCATGCCCGTCGATATCAAGAAAGAAATCATAGATAAACATAAGCATGGTGACAGAATTGGCGAAGACTTGTGGCCTTTCAACATCGAAAATCTATACTATTCTGAAGAAGCAGGAAAAAATTAAGAAACCTGATGTAGCCAAAGGAATTATCGTTGCTTCCAAGCACCATAAAAGTACTCCTAGATGTTGAGAAGCTGTTGTTGGTGTGGATTAATGAGAAAGTTAAAATGTTGGTAACAAAGTTAAACAATGGTTATATTATTTACCAGTGTTATTTATTAGGAAAAATTGACTTGATATTAAAATGTTGATATTTTTTGGGGGTGTGGAACAGGTTAACTGAATTTCCATTATTTTCAATGGGGAAGCTTGTTTCTAGATACGAGAAATTTGCTATGCCAGTTGAATGCTGGAACGAATTAAACTTGTATCCCGAGGTTCCACTGTAGATATGTAAGCATGTGTATATGCATGTATGCGCATGTATGTGTATAAGTATACACATACATACATAAAGAATATACACATGCACACACAAGCACATACATTTAAAAATGCATGCATATAAACATACATTTCTGAATCTGGTCCTGATAACAGAAGAATACCTACATGAATCATAGGATTTACATTAATCAGTTTTATTAGAATTCTTAAATGCAGAGGATTTACATTAATCAGTTTTTTTAGAATTCTTAAATGAAATCTTCACTATCCGAAAATTCAGTTTCCTTTCCAGCTGAAACTATATCAGGAAAATCTCATTTATATTATTTCCCTCTAACAACTGAACATTTTTAAAACCTTTTCTATTCCATGGAAAACTAATGCTACATTAAAGATATATTTTCTAAATCTGAAAATTTTAAGTTAGCTTAGAAACTGTAATCATTCTTAAGTTTGATTTATGCAGATGTTAGATCAATAAAATTACATTCCTGTAAAAAAGTAATATGGCATTGAACAACATGATTTTACACATCAAGATATACCGAGTGAAACTCCCTGAAATGTTTTATTTCTTGGTATCTCTGCAAGAATTGTATAAATAAGACTACCTCCTTTTTTTAAAAAAAATTTTTAGTAAATACTATGAAGAAAATTGGTTACATTATTTACAGTTCATAATTAATAGGAAATAAATCATTTCTTAGCTTATCAGAATTTATTTTTATCACATTCATAAACAGTACTAATTTAAACAAACATACCATTATGATTTCAATAACTATGAAATAGAAAATCCAAATCTGCGTCTTTGATGGTCTAGTAGATTGGACATCTCGTTCACTACAATTCAGCAGGGTGCTGACTCCCCAGACTGTAATATATATATATCTATTTAATTTACAAAGGAAAAAGCAAAAAAATATATATAAACAATTTCTTGGTTTTATATAAGCATTTCTGCACATTTACAATTTTCATTTTTTTAACTATCTAGTTATATCAAAATGCATGATTTAGTAAAATATAATTCAAATAATTTAAGGTATTTTAGATCAAATACTAACTTTTCAACAATTTTTTTCATGCAAGTCTAATAATCAACATAACTATCAAGATTTGACTTCGAAAATTATGTTTAGAGAAACTTGAAGCTGTAAATAGTAATAAATTTATTCAAAACTGAAAGTAAAGCATTCTTACTTTATTTTTCTTTAGCTATGGCAGATCTTTTAAAACAACAAAATCAAGCAAACAAAAAAGAAGTGCATTCATGAAAGGAGTTAGGACTTACTTATTATTCATGAAAGGATATATTTCAGTAATTACAAGTGCATGAAAATTCAGTATATATATATATATATAAAATGAACACAGATTTGGAACAAAGTACCTGTGTTTCTATCGCATAAAATTTCCTTTTTTAATAGCACAATATCTTTGAGTTAAAGATTATATATTAAAGCAAATTTATAAAACTAAATTCAAAAATAAGAAATTAAATTATTTTTAGGGAAAACACTAAGCAAATAAATAATTTTGAATTTCATAAATAAATGAAAGTTACATGCTTTATTTTTTGGCATAAGGTAGATAATATTTCCAGAACAAATTTCTGAACAATTAGTCATGTTAACATTGCCCTTTTTTTTTTTCCATTAAAAGATATTTCCTGCTTAATTACAGTATGCTTTAAGATAAATATTAAAATGTTTGAGTAAAAATAATATAACTATAAAAAGGTGAGACACATACAAACAGCAGTGACACAAACAGTAAGAAACAGACTAGTGCAAATTTTTTTCAATTTATTGATTTGGTATTCTGTGTCATTAACAGTACCAAATCCTGAAAATGAATCATTAGGCACGTGCACAAAAGAACAACACATGGAAAACCACATTTCCTACACAGACGCTATTTATAAAATTTTATATAGGTGAAGAAAGTATGAGTATTAAACACTGAAAATATAAAATATTCACTTACTTTCTTCAAATAATTAGTAACATCGATGGATTCAGTCACAAACGCCAATCCACGAACAAACAGTATTCTTTGTGACTTTACCATTCTTTTCGACCGCCATTGCTGACTTCACAAATATCCCGCCACAACCAGAAGTAGAAAGTGGGTCAGTGAACAAGAATTGCAACGCTTTTTTTTTTTTTTTTTTCTTATAATTAAACATATTACGAAAGCCTCTAAATTAGCATATGAAATAAACTTACTTTTGCATTATATAAATTTATATTCACAGCATCTCTGTATTAAGGTAATAATTTAATTTGTCTACAAAAAATAAAAATGTCTGTGTATGCGCATGCTCAGTGTATAATTGTAAATCTGGTTAATTTTTATAAGTTAGCGTAAAATCAACTAATTTGAGTTCATTTAACTGGACCCTTGTACTTATTCTGTAGATCTCCATATTAAGAATGTCTTTAACTGTTTCAGGAAAAATATAAAATATAATATAATTATTTATTTATATATTTATTTATTTTTCCTCGTATAAAAATTATTAAAATTGCCATATCATTTTTCCCGTACATTAAACAAAATTAAAAAATGTTAGCCTCATGTGATTTTTATAACAAAGATTAAAGGAACTGAAATATATGCAAAATATCAGGATTCAGCTTGCAATTTTATAGAGTTATTATTATTATTATTAAATAAAAATATTAGTATATCTTTGATTATAATTAATGATCCTTTGGTCTACATTAAACTATTGTTAAAGAAGTTAAACATTTTCAAGCATCTTCTGCTCTATTTATTATTCTATTCCTTGACATGAAAGATTTGCTAGTCTTATTCCAATTTAAATGCCCACATTTGCTAAATAAAATAAGGCAAGTATTGTACCAAACTCAGTAAGTACACAAATATAACATACAGCTTATTCCAGTTAAATGGGTAATAGGATTTTCATAAAAGAAATTAAATTGTGTAAATTAATGTAAGTGTTGATATGAATAAAAATAACAAATTTGATATAAGAAAATAAATAAGTTATTTTTAAAATCTTTAAATTAAGAAAATATAATTTTTTGCAAAAATGCACGTAAAGATTTAGCTCACATTTTAAAATTCATAGAAAAATTTTATCCTCATATATGAATGCCCCTTTTTTCATGTTCGTGGAAAAGGAAAACAAAGGGAAATGCCAAAAATGCACTAAATATTTTGAATTAATAAACTTCATTTTCAATCTTTTTAGACTTCATATAATATCCGTAAAAGTGACGAATGAAATATACCATAAAGGCAGTAGTTTCTTTCAGAACATTCGGATTCGTATAATATGCGTAAAAGTGACGAATAAAATATACCATTATGGCGGTAGTTTTTTTCATTACATTCGGATTCGTATAATTTTCGTAAAAATAACGATAAAGAGTCAACAGTAACTTCAGCCTTTTTCATTCGTATAAATTTCGTAAAAGTAACGTGCAAAAAATACCATACGCTTATTTCACCAAAATTATACGTATATTTTTGGAGACGTGCTGCCTGGGGCATATGTGTTTGATAAGGTTGAGATCTGGTAACTTGAGTGATTGTTTGACTCGCACAGATGAGTAGCTCTTTTAACCAAAATTTGATTCTCTATATTTGTATGGTTACATATTTTCTGTTAGAAAGAGCCAGATCCACTAAAGTACATATAAGAGTGCAAGTCATCAGAAATAGCATGCACATAGAGCTCACCTATCAAAGATATTTGAGACATTCTAGAGGTCCTATTGAATACCAGTAAAAGAACTTTGTACCGTAATACAGCCATCATAGCTTGTGCATGGGGCCCCAAACCTAAGCCCATAGGTGACATTGGGCCCACCAACAACTGAAATTCTTCCCTAGAGGCTATTTATGTGGGTCCGCTGTTGTATGAGCGTGGTAAAAAATTATTCAAGTTTTCGATAAAATTTGTGTAAAATTTCTTATAGTTAGTAATTTATTAGAGAAATGTAAGCATGATTGTTTTAAAAAATTATTTGTTTATAATAATGTTTATCATCTTAAATGGGCTTACCAGGTGTCCCAGTTTGGCTGGGATTGTCCCACTTTGAAATTATATCCTAGCATCCCAACCATTTTACCAATTTTGTCTCAGTTATTTGTTAAAGATCAAAAAATATCAAATATACATGTATCAAAAATGTTTTTTAATGTCTTTCTATATCGTTTTCTTGTGTGTCACTGTCCTAGATGGTTCCATACGCAGAGCATAATGATTTGCTCTGCATTGTGATGCTATCTATGAAGGGGAGTATCCATTTAATTAGCATTTAACTTTATTTTTGGTGTCATCTACTTCATTGTTTCTGCATAGTTTGTTATTTTAATCCTAAAATGAGTAACTCTTGTAATTTATTTTATTTAATTAATTATACTTGTGACTATAATTTTAATACTGACTGAAAAAAAATCATACTGTTTCTTCAATTTTAAAGATAAATTGTTTGTTGTGTGATTACTTTACAGTGCTGAAAAAACATAATGTTCAACATCGCTTTCAGACAATACATGTCATATTTGATAAGACCTATTCACTTAAATCTGAAGCAAGAAAGAAGAAAATACATCAGTTAGAATCAAACCTGTTTACCCAACAGTCAGTTTTCACTGAGCCTGTGCTAAAATTTAAAAATTCTTCTATTTCTTTTTTTAAACTCTCAAGAGAGGTATGAAATGAAAGGTGATTTCACATGTTTTGTAGAAAGGAGGCTAACTTGGCTTTGAAATACCCTCGGAATAGCCTGTGACACAAACCAATTTTGTTTATCTAAGCTACTTTCACCCCCCACCCCTACAAACGCCACACAAAAACATATCATCTGTCATCAGTTGGCCTTGGAATTCGGTGACGAGTACATCGCAGTGTGTGTAAAAATCAGTGAGATTGGTTCGTGCCAAAAGAAATGGAGAAGGAGGATATTGAAACTGAGCCAAAACTTAATGAAATGTTTGAGATAGTTTATGTATTATTGGACTATTCTTCTATATCATTGGAAGCATTTGTTGCAGTAGATGAAAATAATGCGTGTACAGCCCCAATTATGGTAGACAAAGACATTTTGGATTTTGTTCAAAGCTAAATATATCATTGATGCAGAATCCAAAGACGAAAATGAAAGGAATAATGCAGCTCCTTTTCCCACGTTATCCGAAATGAGGAACATCATGAAAAGTACGCACAGTTATTCACATTCCAATGAATGGTGAAATAAAAAACAAAATGGATGACATCAAACAATTTGTTGACAATTTGATGCTAAAAAAGACAATGCAAAGAAAAATATCAGATTATATTCCAAAAACTCAGTAAAAGGTTTATTTTTCAAAAAAACTTGAAAATTTTGCATTAAGTTCTTGTAGATGTTTTTGTTTCATTGATTTTTATTAAATACATGTATATATACATATCTATGTAGATAAAATGTGCTCTAATAAACTTAATTCTTCCTTCCAATAATCTTTAACACAAAAAATATTTTAGTCCCTCTTTCAAGCTAAACGATTTTCGCTGTATAAGTTACACCATAGAGCTATGCTGTTTATTTGTACTTTGTTAAATTTATCCAATTTATACTTAATTTATGTGAATTTTGAGTACTTTAGTGGAAATGTTATCCTTTTCTATTTTGATGTTTTTGCAGGTAATGCATACAATAATGATGAAAGATGTATTTGTGCTGGATATGATAATGGAGATCTAAAATTGTTTGATTTAAGAAACATGTCCATACGATGGGAGTATAATCTCAGGAATGGAGTATGTTAACTTTCTTTCTTCCCCTCCCTTTTTTTGGTGGTTGTTGTTTTGTGTGTGTGTGGGTTTTTTTTTTTTTTTTATTTTATTATTATTATTATTATTATTATTATTATTATTATTATTCTGTGTAATAGCACTAAGTTTGCACAGTAAAGTCAGATAAATAAAAATGCATTTTAATATTTAATATGAATGTTAAATTTTCTTTAAAATCCTAGATTTTGTTATCTAAATACAGAGTTGCCAACTTTCCCAATTTCGGCGGAGATTTCCGATTTCTGACCATACTCCTGCCAACCCAATTTTCAACATATTTCTCCCAACTTTCTCTTATTCTTAAAATTTCTCACAATTTTTATGCAACTTGGCTTTATACTTCGTTATTTGCACCCAAAAAAGTTATTTTTGGCATCTAAAAGCACTTGTTTTTCGCTAAATGCATAGTAAAAAAACAATGTCATTTCATCAGTGAAAATGGCATGTTTCTACTTTGTGTATGAGAGTCCAAAACACATGCCCAGAAATGTCATGTCCTAACTCTGTAATGAGAATCAAGCGCAGCTGCGGGTCATCTGACATATATTAGCAAATGAACACAAAGTAAGATCAAGGCTGTTTATTTTGTTCGTCTTGCCAGTGGGCAGCGTAAGTTTTGCATGCTTCCCAAAAACAGTTTCAGAAACTGTAATCTTTTGTCTTAATTATGTGTACGAAAAATATAAAATACTCATGTACTTTTCAAAAATCGTACATATTTGACTTCATCAAGGAAATATAATATTGCTATGTGTATTGTTTGTCATCGTGATTCTTCAATTTCACAGGGTGGAAGAGCCGATGTTCTTAAACATGTGGATAGGTGTACTAGGACAACGTGAATTGTAGAATTGTATTATGAAAGAAAAAAAAGGAGAGAAATTTTTTTCTGTTCTGTTTCTGATTTTAATTTTTTTTAAACAAAAGACCAAAAAGTTATTAATCCAGAAAGCCTGTTCTCTGCCTTTTTACTGGAGGACAACCTGCCACTAAATGCATCAAATCATGCTGCAGCTTTTTCAGAAAAATGTTTCCGGGGAGTAAAATTGTTAAGACATACTCAAGGACAAGGACAAAAGCAGCTGCAGTTGTAGAAGAAATTGATATAAAAAATAAATCTTCAGTGATTGTTTGCTTTAAAACAGTTTCATTCTGCATGTTCACGGATAGAAACAATAATACCAATTCAAAACTGTATCCAGTTTTTTTTTTTTTTTTTTTTTTTTTTTTTTTTTTTTTTAAATCCAGAGTTTTCAGAAATTGAATGTAGTTTACTTTCTGGTCCCTTACTTTAGAAGGAGATGCAATAGGCATTAATATGTAGCACAACTAATTATTAAAACTCTTTAAAAGTCCAGCTCTTCAGGATAATTGCTTAGCACTTAATTACCAAGAAGTAAAGCTTCTAGAGTTAATATAAAAGGCTCTGTTGAAATTTATAAAAAACCATGAGTAAATGGAGATGCAGTTGTTACTTTCACTGTGAAAAATAAGTGTGAGAAAAATGAAGTTATTTCTGCAATTTCAAGCAATTTAATTGACAATTCTCAAAATAATACTACAAAATAAGCATAATAAAATAATTTTGTGCTAGCATCCGCTACATTGGCAATTTTATAAAATAATATTTGAATGAATTTTTGTATAAAACTCAAATATTTTGTTCTATATAAATTTCAATATGAAACAATTAAAGTAAATGTCAAATATGCTAAATACATAATAAACAGCTTAGTTTTTTGGGGGGGGAGGGAAAGAGAACAGAACAACAGAAAAGGTATAGAAATATCTATATATAGTCTCAAGTTGCTATATTTTGCACCAATGCAAATTACTTAAAGTATTCTACAATAGTTTATAGTCTGAGAATGGTTCAAAGTCCAAGGAAAGTGGTGTAAAATGAGTTATTATGTTGGTGTACATTTTGAGAAAATTTATCAACTTTCATTTAAGAATGGCATACTAAGCCAAATGGAAGAAAAAGGATTTAATTGAATTAGCAGGAACAATAGATATAGTGATAGAGGAAAATGTTAGAATTCCTGACATAAATAATGCTATAATCACTAGTTCCATGTATGATGTAGAGTTTACAAAAGAATGTTTGAACCAAATCTTAAATGGTAGCAAGGAAATGGAAATAGAATCACATGCTGAGAGAAAGAAAATGAATGGCTGTTTGAATTCGAAAAATTTAACTTGCTATCTAGTATTACTGATAGTAGAGCAGAGTCTGAAACAGTATCTTCTTCTGCAGATTCATAAATGCTCAAGTTAGACCTGAACAAGTTAATTCTTAATGTTGATCCTTAAACAGCCGATATGAGTTTATTTTTGGACTTGTTTGAGAGACAATAAACCCTTCTAAAGGTAGCTGTTTCAAAATGGATAATGTTCATCTTCTGCCAACAGACTTTGCAACAATAATTGCTAAGGAATCTTCTGATGATGCTCAGATTATATCAGAAAATTAAAGAAATTCCCTGAAAGTACGTCAAATTGAGTGCTGAGAACAACTGTTTACCCAACATAAGAACAATCCTAAAATACTTGGGTTTTCTGGGATTTTCTTTCATGTAAATTAACAGGAATTTTGACTTATTATTTTAACGGGTGGCTTGAAGAATCAAAAGTCATAACGTCTTTACAATTAAATAATATGATACTGGCAGATCAGATTAAGAAGAAAGACCCTCCAGATTATATAAACCACTGTTTGGATAAATGAGTGAGTGGAACAACCCACCTCACTTGCTGACAAATTAGATCTGTTTGAAGAAGTTAGAATGTAAGAAATAAAAATGTTAGGAAACCCCCAAGTTTCAACAATGAGATTGCCACAAAAATTATAGAGGTAATCCTCAACATACTAAAAATGCCGTATCAAGAGATAATACAAAAAAAAAAAAAAAAAAAAAAAAAAAAAAAACGAAGCTCAACTACCTGTTAGTTACTAAGGATGTGGGAAGTCAGGCTAAATGATTTTTTAGATACTTTTCCAATTTGCCGGCACAAGCGATGAAGTCCCCAAAAATGGTACAACCAATGCCAAACTTAATATACTCGCTGGTAACCTTTTACGCCTCAATTTTCAAAACAAGCTGCAGCCATTTCTTATCAAATTGATTGTCTCTTTCAATTCTGGATACAATTATATAGAATTTTTAATAGATAGTTCAATTTTATGCCATAAAACCATTCTCAGTAATTAAGTCAATTAGGGTGCAGTCATACAGCTCATCCGAATGCGAAAATATAGAAAAGGCAAAGTCTAGGGTTAAATTCATCAATTCTAGTGCGAATGCACTGGTGAAGTAAGGCACTGCGGTTTTACATAATTTCTGAGTAAGCTGTTTGTACGAATAAAAATGATTCTTGCATTTAAATTTCTATTCCATATTAAGATTTAACTTGAAATTAATGTAGAATGAATTAATAACTGGATAACTTAAAATTTAATAATTTGAAATTAATGAGAGAATTAGATTTTTGCAGCTTAGTTTATGTGAGATGAGATAACTTGGAGTCACGTGATATGAACCGGCGAATCAGGATGTTGTACCATGAAAGCATAGTAAATTCTTAAATTAATTTCGTTTTACAAGTTTATTATCTTTATTTATTGCCTTTTTACAAAATTTTAAATGATATTAAAATGTTTATGCCTTCAAAATAAAAAATCCTTAGAACTAACATTTGTTAACATGTTTTATGTGTATACCGTGTGCCGTCGCCAATAAAGTCTGCTTGGCAAGATTTACGCCGGCGAAATGGAAAAGTACCTAAAACCTTTTTCTTTTTGGCATTAAGTATTTTTGCATTATTAATTGCATTCAAGTTCTATATATTTTTATTATTAAAAAAAATCTGTTTGTTTTGTTAGAAAATTCTCCTCATTTTTGAGTGTGACAGGTTGGCAAGTATGTAAATATATTTGATGTAAAATTACATGATCTTTGAAAAGTTTTATTAGCAGAATAATTATAAATTCCATAACAATAAAAAATACTTAAAAATCAATTACATTCCTGAAGTAATCAAATGCTTAAAGAATTTTAACAGAATTGAAGATAAAAATTACTACTTTTAAACTTTTCATTTATAATTTTAAGACAGAAAATTTGTTTAAAGGTTGTGTTGTTAGATTTTAAATACAGTCAAAAATCATTAATCCGGACTCGTTGGGACTTCGGCAATTCCGGATTATAGATCATCAGTTTAAATCTGGTAAGATGGCATGCAGAAATTATAAAATTAAAAATATGAAACCGTAATTTATGAAATAAAGAACAATTATGATCTAAAGGGTATCAAAATTTACAAAAAAAAAAAAAAGCTTAATATTTATTTGTTTACTTTATTAAACATTTCTTTCAATGTAAGTTGTTTAAGTTGCTTCATTTTTTATGTGATAATACATTTTCTTTAATTCTATAAACAGACATAATTACCGACTAATTTGTCAATAGAAATTTTTTCGTTTTCAATAACCTCTGTTACTTTCTTCGCTACAGGAAGCGAATTATAATGATGAGGAATTTGATTTAAATCATATTAAAGACGGAGTACATCGAGATGAAATACTACAGTTAGTAAGGAATTATAAGCCAAATAAAATAAAAACATTTGCCCTGAAGATAAGGATAGTGCTGAAAGATTAACTTCCAATTCATTGCGCGCCGCAGAGTTTCGGCGTCCCCCCCCCGGGCCGCAGAACAGCATGAAATTGATAAACAGATTTCAGAATGGTTTAAGAAACGAAGGATATGCCTTTATCCATTTTTTTTCAGCAATTCCACTTTTTGTTTAATGGACTTCTAAACATACTTTAGCTTTGTAGATCCTTTACATATTAGTAAATATATATTGGAAATTCTATTTGACATAATCGAAAGTTCAAGCTTACTTTTATAAAATTGCTCCAACAGTCTGCAAAAAATAATAAGCCGGATCCAATTTGAAGATTCAGGAACAACGAAATCTGCAACATTAACTGAATTAGATAATTTTAGCTTAGCTTATACCATCCGTCATGCATTAAACGCGCAAGCGTAAACGTATTACGCACATGCGAACACACATATTCTCAGCCGTAAAAGTCTTACGCGCATGCGTCAAAGCGACGCATGCGCAGAAAGTTTGTAGCTTTGAGGTCCGGATTGTAGATAATTCCGGTTATGGGTGTCCAAATTAACGACTTTTGACTGTATAGTGTTGTTTTATTGCATGTTGAGCATTATAAAAGTATAATTTTTTTTCCCATGGTAAAATATGGTTGTTTTTATATAGTTGAATTATTTCATCAACTAGACTAATATTTATTACACGTAGATAAAACTGTTTTACTGTAGTAGTCAAAATTCCATTTTAGTTCAATTTTATTATAAATCATTTAAGTACTCGCCTAAATTTTCTAAAATTCCAAAATTATTAGTGTTTATTTAATTTCTATATTAGTTCTGTTAATATTTATATAGCCACAGTGTTGTTATTTCTTACATTTTGTGCATATGAAGTACCAAAAAGTCATTTTCATTTTCAAATAAATACATTAAATATCATAGTAAAAAAAAATTCACGAGATTGAAATAGTTTAGTTAACAGTAATTTTTTCTACAGGTATGTTGTGTTGAATTTGACAGGAAGGACATCAGTATGAATAAATTAGTTGCTACTACTTTAGAATCTAAATTTCATGTTTTTGATATGCGCACATACCATCCAAAGAAAGGCTATACCTCATTAATTAAAAAGGTTTGTTTTTATACTTTCATTATATATTCCCTTCCATGAATTGATGTAGCTAAAGTTATGGAAGATAGGAATATTCAGTAATATTTGCCTTACAGTTTTATAATTATTTTTAAATGTGATTATACTAATTTTGATCTCCATGCACGTGTATATTCGTATGTATACCTTGAAATTTCAGAAAAAAGTACTGAGAAGTACTGGAGCTGGCCTCCGGTACTTCTTAGTTTTTGAAAGAAATTGTACTTCTATCTGAAACCTTAAACAGAAAAAGGTCTGACATTTCTTTTATGGGACTGAATCAGAATTTCAGCCGTAAATTCTTTCGGTCTCATAAAATTTTATTTCAGTATAAAGCAAGTCTTAAAAATTGATTCTAACTTATTAATTATGCCCCTTTCCCTGAGAAACATGCACTTAGATGGATATTGAGACTTCTAAGTAAAGAAAACCCCCACTCACATATCAAAACTTTATTCTTTGATAAGTACAATTAATTTATGCAAGCTTCTTTGAGAATGAGTAAATTTTTCATTCCCAAAAGTATTAGAAGTGATTCTCTGGTCACACCATCATATCTGCTGATTTAATATTGATAGTTTGTTAATTGTGATTTACAAAAGAAGATGAACTATTGTTTATGTTCTAAATATGCTTTAAGTAACAGTGTAACTTACTTTAGTAAGACAAATGGCTGCAAAACATCCAATGACTTCCCACAGAAAACAACATTCTGTAAAGTTTCAGAGCAATGTCTACCCATTTCATAGGTCAATGGGAGTTTCATAGGTCAATGGGAGTTTTCATATATAACCATTTTAAAAGTGTGCACTAACTATAAAAATTCCAACAACAATTTGAATTTATGGCAAGGGTAGGGTACGAACTGCGCCAAATTTGATCGAAAATCCCCGTCCCCCTCTTTTTTAATCCACGAACTGCGCGACGTTTCCTGTCCCCCATTTCTTTCCAAGAAGATTGGGTGCTACAAAAAGTCGTTTATCGCCATTAATGGGACATTCTATTGAGACTGCAAGCCTTTATTTTCGTTTATCAATATTGTAAAAATTGTGCATGTAAAACAAATATTAATTTAAAGTCTGGCGTGTGCTAAAAAATAAATTTCTTTTACACTCATTTTAAAGTTTTATGATGCTTAAAGGAATGATGAGCCAGATCTTTTTTATTCTCTGTAAGAATTAAAAAACTTTCCAAATTGTAGATTTTAGTCGCTGATATATATATATATCAGTTTTGAATAGTAAAATTGATAGATTAATGACATACACAAAACTGATACATAATCAACGTATCAAATATCGGATTTGTAGCTCACCTTAAATAAGTTTCTTGTCTAGATAAATATTAACAAATCTTCTTAGATAGCAGAATGGTTTTAACTTTCAAATTTACCATTTTAGGTAAAACAGTTCTAATAATTTAATTATAAAAATTATCTTTATTAAATCTAAAAATTGGACTTCTTAAGTCGTTCTAAATTCACACTAATATTATTGCAATATATTCCCGTATTAAGCTTTCCATTTTTAATCATTGAAGTTATTTTAAGGTTATTTAACTTGTGTTACAAATTCCATATTTTAATACTAGAAATGTTTAAATATTTATTCTGTTTTCCACCTGATGTACTTTGGCATGCATTTAATTTCTAATACACATTTAATTAATAAATTGATAATTATGAGCGTCATCAGAATTTTTATAATTAACAAAAAAAAAAAAAAATCAAAATTCCCTTTATTATATTCATATCCTGGGATTTTCAGTCTCCCTTTTAATCCATTCCTTTTTCACATATTGTTGCACTGTACTCAAGTTTTCATGTATGTAAAATTTATATAATTTGTATTGTATTTATGCCAATTTATAATTAAATGATAATTTTTACAAATTCTTGCTTCATAACTCTAGTTAACAGAAGATGTTTCTAACACCTTGGCAAAGCTTAATCTTCAGCATGTAGCTTATTTTCTAATCTAGTTTCAGGCTGAATTATTTGTAAAATTAGTTACTTGAAATTATTTGTTAACAAAGATGGTCGCTAAATCACGCTAATAATATTTCTAACTGTTGTAATTTATAATGCAACGAGTTCATACGATTTATAATATAATTCATTTATAATTTTTTCAGCAGTATTGAAATTAATAGCAGATACTGATAATGTTATACATTTAGATTACAATGATTTAGATTGCAATTGCCTTCTTCACTCATGCTTTTATGCTACTTCCTAATATTTCATAATGGCATGCAGGTAAGTTTAACTTATTCATTAAACATGTAAATCTCTAATTCAGCCCACTTTTGTTCTTCACTAAACATTGGTAGTTCGACCCGAGTTTCTAGTCCCAGTGATCCCCTAGCTCTTTTTTTTTTTTTTTTGTACTTATTTACTCTGTAAAAATGTATAGTAAAAATTTCAGTTCATGAAGTAAAAATACTTTTAAAATTTATTCTTTAAAAATATTGCAAAATTTTTCACCTTAGCGTATCTTTTCACAAATCCCTCTGATAAGAAAAAGTAAGGAAAGAAATTAACTTGATTTCGGTGATTGATACCTGAGTGCAAATTATGTGTAACTTTTCCAAAAGCATACAGTTTAGTATATGGATATCAATAAATTATGGATTATTTCTCATCTAATTTTCTTAACATTTTTATTCCAGAATTTTCCTTTCACACTGTAGTGTTTAACTTTATGCGTTTTGTATAATAATTTACATTTGTTTATAATTTTACGCGAATGAAAGTGATTATTTAATTGTATAAGCTTTGCTGAAAGATAAACGAGAAAACAAAATTCTATCACTTGCGGTCAAGAGAGTATTTGATGTAATAATTCTTATATATTTTTTTGATAGTTTTTTATTTAATTTCTTTCATTTATGCATTACTACACATAGTTCTTTTCAAAAATATTTTTCTGTGCCGCTTATGTCCGTATTTCAGTTTCAAGGAATGCGTGCTCCGTGTAGGGTATATAATGCTTAATAAACTTATGATATGAAAGAGATCTAAATTCTCTTCTCATTTCTACTTTCTACTGTATTTTTTAAATTTCAACCCCTAAGAAATTTACTCTAGAAATCGTTTTCATGATTTAATATTTTATACTTATTTATTTATTTTATTCATACTTTAGCATTTTCTTTAAGTTTATCCTTTATCATGCTAACCTGTTTTTAAATATTTTTCTTAACAAATATTCAGAAGCAAATATATTTTTCACCAAGATAGTCAAAGAATCGTTCGGAACTGATTGAAAATTTACCTATTTAAGTAACATACAGACTTCTGGTTGTAGGGGTGAAAAAGGTCAGAGCCAATAGTTGTGCTCATGAAGAATGCCTTGTAGCCCCAGATGTTGTTACAAAGATGAATTTAATGCCTGCAAGAGTATTACGAAAATCGTCTGAAAATTTCTTTTGTGTTACAGAACAATTAACAAAAGTAAATCTAAAGTGATGTATAAAAGAAATTAAACAAACAAAAAAGAAACGATTTTTCGCATACAATTCAGTGTTTCTCATCAATTAATTCAGTTCTTACTTCATGACAAGGCAAAAATACATAAAAACTCAAAATATCTGTATGAAAAATTACGAAGTGAATCTTAAATACTTATTTCCTGGAATAAATTCCAGAAAGGATTAAGCATGACTTAATTTGCAATAATAATAAAAGAAGGCGTTATCTTTGTTGTTGCCGAAGCATAGTTTCTCTAGATTGGCAACAAATCCACTATTCATTTATAAAAAATATATTTCTTTATTTTTATTTTCCTCTTGGCTACAGTTGGCTTCGAAAAATAAAATTGTAACCCTGTAGGCAACAGGGGAAAGAAATTGTGATCAATGTAGTTGGACTATAGCAGGATGAGGGGGGGGGGAATTTTCATCAGCGCAGTTGGAGTACATCCATGGCAAGAGTATGGCCATAAAAAGATAGTAATTACAATTACCTTTGACTGGCAGGAAACATTTCATTTAAGAAACATGTAATACTGTTGCTGAAACTTCAGCAACCTTGCAATATAATGCTTGAGCTCAGTAAACTAAAGTGGCATAGCTAGAGCTTTTATCTCCTGCAACAGGCTATGAAATTGCCACCTTATCTCTAAATTTGCAGCTTGTCTTGATATACAAGCAAATAACTTTAAAAAGGCTCAAATGACATATAATGAAATGAATTACTACTAAGTACTACTTATTTTGCATTTATTTTCAAAGAAAAGGTTTAATTCCAACATTTTAAAAATTTTATTATTTTGCTTGCTTTTTAATTTCTCCGGTTGCTGTTATGTAGACAGTATAGAAAGCTTTCCTAAATGCAAAAGATACATTTTCAGTTCTTTAATGATTTTTGTTTAGAAAACTCTTTTCACAACTAGCAACATGTACAGCTGTTATGAGAAAAGTATGTAATAGTATTACAATATTTTTTGTTCTGGAGAGTATATTTTGGAACAAACTGCAACTATGAAATACTCCTGTGTTAAAGAGGAGTTTTTCATTATTAATGTCACCATGATCATAATTTATTTGATATTCGTAGTTTACAAAAGTTTTGATAAAATAAAAAAGATATAACAAATTTAAGATCTTGTGGTGATTTCTTTGCATACTATTTTTCTTTTACTATTTTCTATGCTATTTTATAATGTATTTATATACTACTATCTATATTTTCTATACTATTTTTCGTATTACTTTGAATGCTGTTTACTAAAAAAACTGTTTCTTTTCTCAATTTATTTCCATATGCCAATTCAGAATCTCTCATTACTCTTCACCTACCTACATAATCCACATAACTGCTATAAAATAATGTTTCATGTGAAAATATCATCTGGGGGTCAACTCCTTCCTCTGGCTACACCTTTGAATATGAGAACTCTGTAACACTGACTCTGTGATATTGGTTTTCTGTCTTGAACAGCCTGGCAATTCAGTGTTGGAACTCAACAAACCTCAGTATG